AAAATTTCTCGCAAACCAAACATTGTCAAAGCTTTTATTTCTATATGGATATTTTCCACCGAAACCTTTCTCCAAAACCCATAAACTATTTCCTCATTCCTCTGTTACCAGGGGTTTTGATTCAGAAAATGTGATATTGCCTTGAATCAAGTTAACCCTATCTCCACCATGGATGAAGGTGAAGACTCTTTTGATTTGATGCTTTGTGACTCTAATTCCAGGCTTATCCATTTGGGTTTTCAAAATCCAATTGCACGAGTAAGTAAAATCATTGCCGATATTTGCGCTGAACTCTTTCCAATGAGAGAACCCAATGCTTGAGAAAATCTGGGTAATTTCTTAAACAGTGAACCCACTTGAAGCAAAGAGATTGATGAGTTGTGACATGCCCATGCTGGGTTTAGGCAACTTCCCTTCTACCGAGGAAGCGATGACAACCGTGAATCTTTATGGCTAAAGAAGTGATAGACGAGAATGCTATACATTAAGAAAGAAAATTAAGATTAGTTAAAGATAATTAAGAAGGAAAGCAGAGTGGAGAAGTTTGCTGCTAAACTACTTTCAAGTTTTTGGCTTGATTGAGATTTAAGGAAGAATTAAAGGGGAAGAAGAGGGTCTGAGAAGTGTGGGGGTTAGAGGGTATTTTAGGGCTATCATTTTTCTATTTTCAATTAATTTTTATTTATTCCGATAAAAAATAAATATTAAAAGGTGACATGGTATGTTCTAATTGGTCAAACTTTATTTAAATAGTGTTAATGATTTGGAACAAATCTTCCGAAAAATATTTTAGGAGACGATTCGATAAAAAAAATATAGTTCAAGGGGCAAATGTGTATTTAAGCCTTTGAATTTCTGATTAATTTAATACTTAAACACAAATAATTAGAAAGAATGTAAAATTAATTTATTTAATTTTCAAAAAGCTGAGGGTAGAGGTATTGACGTGTAAGAGGAGGGAATCCACATATTCATCAAGCAAGCAGGGCCGCCGGCCCTGGGCCAGGGCAGGAGGGGCACCCGCCCAGGGCCCATAAATTAATTATTTTAAGTATAAATATTTTTCTGATAATAAATTAAAAATAGGGTAATTTAATCATTTAACACTTAAATTATCAGTTTGGATCCGTTTTAGTACTTAAACTTTTAATTTTTTTTCAAAATCATATCTAATGTTTAGTTTTCATTTCATTTTAGTACTCCGTCGTTAAAAACTTAATGTGTTTAGTACTAAACTATCAGTTTTGGTTTGTTTTAGTACCTAAAATTTCAAAAAAAAAAAAATTAAAACTTAACGTTAAATTTTGAATGGGTACTAAAATTAAATAAAAAAACTAAGTTTTTAACGACGAGTACTAAAACGAAACAAAAAATAAATCTTAGGTATGATATTGAAAAAAATTAAAAGTTTAGATACTAAAACGGACCAATATTGATAGTTTAGATACTAAACATATAATTTACCCAATAAAATAATGGGGCCCATGTATTTATTAAAGTGACAATTGTTATTATTAAATTTTATATTAATGTTAATAATGTGTTCTTCTATAAAATTCTAATTCAACTCTTTCCTAAAATTAAAAAATAACTCAATTGAATATCTTTAATTTTGGTCTTTCCAAATTCTCACCATAAATTCACCAAATCTCTTTCCCCGATTTTTCATATCAATGGACAAATTTATTAACGTAATTTTTTTCTTCAAAACTTAATGAGAGGAAAAAATTAAGTATAATTAGCATGTTTCTTTTCTCTTTCATGTTTCACGATTCATCTAAAAATTATTATTCTCATTTTTAATTTATCATATTTCTCTCACACGTAAAGTCACATTTGTTTATAATCAATTGTCGTGCTTGAATCATATTGAAGACTGTTCTTAAAATTCTAGGTAGATCACGTTTTCAAATTCTTTCTTTTAATTTTTATATATTTTCAAACTCTATATAAAATTGATATTTCATTTTCAAATGTCATCATAAATGGTTTTGCATCAAAAAATGATCGAATGTATTATTTTTTTTTTATAAATATTTGTATTCTTAAATATATTTTTGGCATCTTTTATAATATAATGAATAATTATTTTTTTAATTTAATAAAAAAAATTAATAAAATTTTTATATTACATATTTCTTAAAAAAATTTACATTGAAACCCATTTTTTTATTTTTTCCCGAGCCTAAAAATAATCAGAATCGGCCGTGGACGTGGATGTGGGTGAGAAAAGAAGATGATTTCATGCTTCAATCTGCAACAGACGGTTCCAGGTTAGGTCAAAATTATTGCAAGAGTTGTCCTTTGACTTATGGGTTAATATTTTAGAAAAAGATCCAGCATGTAATTTCCAAAGATTAAAAAAAGGTAATATATGAAAGAAAGAAAAAACACGCGGGGCCGGTTTATACGAGTTGCGTATCTTGATAGGAAAGCCACAGCATGACGGATGTGATTGGTGATCGCTATTCACTACAATAATAGCGACATGCCTTCCCGGCCGTCCCTCCGCTTTTTCAAGTTAATGCGGCAAACCAGCCGTCGGGTTTGTCGCAACGATTCGAGTGCCTCGTGGTCCAAATGAAATGCAATGAAAGCAAGCACATGGGGGCGTTCATACTATGAGCTGTACGTGTGGGATTATCCCCTCCAGTTCATGACACAACGGTGAAGCATAACCCCAGTTTTAGCACTACTTTTCGATGTCTAAAAGACTTCTTACATGATTAAGTGAAGAATTTTAGAGACCCTACGATTTCATCATTAATTTTTTTTAAAAATAATTTATTATTAAATTCATAAAATTATTTTGGTAGATTTTATTAATTTATTATAAAATAATTATTTAAATTTAGGGTAAATAATATTAATGGTCATTGAACTTTTCTAAAGCTTGCATTTTGGTCCCCAAACTTTTAAAACTTACAATATAGTCCTCCAACATTTAGTCTGTTTGCAATATGGTCCCCGATCGTTTGACGCCGATAGTCCGTTTACAATATGGTCACTGAACTTTTCGGGCGCTTGCATTTAGGTCCCCCAGCTTTTAAAACTTGCAGCACAGTCTTCAATTTCATTATAAATCCCAAATTCCAAAATAATTTAATTACATTTTAAACCCTAAATTATAAAATACTTCAATTTAGGGGTTATAATGTAATTGAAGTATTTTAGAATTTGGGGTTTAGAATGTAATTGAAATGTTTTGGAATTTTGAACATGAATTTGCTATTGATATTGTTTACTTCAATATAAATTTGAGGTTTATTGCATGCACATCCAACGACTGCCGCACTTTGAACATGAAGAGTGCACCTATCACAGTTATTGCATAAATAATTGAAGTAAAAGTAACAAGACCAATTTGTCTTGTTCGTAGTTGTCGCACTTTGGTATAACAATCCAATAGGTTTGGATGGAACTTGAGCATGCACATCCAACGGCTGCGAAAATATTAAATAGTTTTAGTTTATAGGACTACAACATGCATCCAAACAATAACTAAAATATATCAAGAATATCAATTAATAACTCATTCAAAATGAGGACTTAATAAATAAAGGGAAAGAGGTTCGGTCATAGTCACTCCAAAAGCTATGGCGTCAATGGGTTGTTTAAGATATACATTAGATGTCAAATACAAGATTACCAGTTGCAAATGCATTAATGACCTACCCTTTAACATATAATTGCTTCTAATGATCCATGTTTAATGTTCCTCAATAGCCAAACATGATGAGAATCTAAAGCAGATAGCGGAACTAAAATCATAAGACCCCATAATTCTTGTAAATTCATGGCATGTCAGCAATAAAAGACATTGTAAAACATAGAGGACATTGCAATAAACATATATATGCTAGAAATGAAGGTGCAAATGTGCAATGACCGAGCAACATATCAAGTAGCTGCTCCAAATATACTACCTTGTTTTGATGCCTTTCGAGTTGTGTGCATGCATAATTGTCTTCTAAAGTTATAATTCAATACAGATTCAACTGTAAAATTTCCAAAACATGTAAAAAATTCAATTCGTTCATGATATATCAGTCCCATAATCAACATGAACTTATTAAAAAGAATACGAGCTCACAAGACATCGAAAACCACAGGTCGGATCAATACAATTCCCAGTAAACTAGTATCAACAGTCTCTCGGATTGAGCCTGTCAATTTCACTATATCGATACTCACAACCAATTCCCTAATTTAAAGAAAACCAAACAAGAAGATAAAAAAATTAGTCTAAGACCCTCTTTCACTTCTATTCTGATGGACTGAATATCTTTCATAAGGAGTACTAAAAGTTTTGATTAAGAAAAAAGAAATAAAATTAGATGGTTTTGGTTCAAAACTAACACTGAATATCCAGATCCTTGATTTTATTAAAATAAAATTATATTATATTAATTATTTATTAAAATAAGAATAATATATTATTTACTAATTAAAATAAGGGTACAATATAGTAATTTTTTTGTTTCTGAAACTACATGTCAATGATCTAGATATTCAGTGTTAGTTTTGAACCAAAACCATATAATTTTATTTCTTCTTCTTAGTCAAAACTTTTAGAATTTGGGATTTAAAATGTAACTGAATTATTTTAGAATTTGGGGTTTAGAATGAAATTGAGGATTGTGTTGCAAGTTTTAAAAGTTGGGGGACCTAACTGCAAATGCTTGAAAAGTTTAGTGACCATATTGCAAATGGACTAACGGCCGTGTAACGACGTCAAACGGTCGGGGACCATATTGCCAACGGACTAAATGTTGGAGGACTGTATTGCAAGTTTTAAAAGTTGGGGACCTAAATGCAAATTTTAGAAAAGTTTAGTGACCATTAATATACTTTACCCTTAAATTTATTATACTATTATAGAATAATAATTAAATTTATTGAACTTTTACATTATATTGCAAATCAGTATCAAAATCAAAATCGTAATCGTACACGTGGATCAGAGGGGAGTTATAAATTTCGCTGCCACCATCCACCATTTTTCTCATCTGCCATACATACTACAACCCTCAGAAACCTAATCTCTTTGTCTTTCTTCTCCATCCACCAGTCCTTAGTGAAAGGAAGAAAAGAAAAGAAAAAGTTCAACTTTTATTATTTAGGGCGTGAAAAGAAGAAGCAAAAATGGCAGACGGTAGCACAGCCACCTGCATAGATATCCTCTTGGCCATCATCTTGCCTCCACTTGGAGTCTTCCTCAAGTTTGGTTGCCATGTCATCATCTCTCTCTCTCTCTCTCTCTCTCTCTCCCACTGAATAATTTCGCCTTCTATAGTCTACACTTACGATATCTATGGAGTTTTTTACTTTAATTAACGTTAATTAATTTCGATGCAGGTGGAGTTTTGGATCTGTCTTGTATTGACCCTCTTCGGGTACATCCCTGGTATCATTTATGCTATCTATGCCATCACCAAATAGACATGTAAGCAACTCGCTCTTTCATTTATTCGGCTCAAGGATCAGTTCTTTAATGGCATATTATATCTTGTGTCCATTTTATAACAAAGTTTAAAATTTAATGTTTATTATAAAATTTTAGTGTTTAAAATATCATTTTAATATTTATTTATAAATGTTATCTTATAAAATTAATAATATATATGTATGTATATATATATATACACGACATTAATTCTATTTTTTTTTGAATAATTAGATCATTGAATTTATTGATTTTAATAATTTTTTATGGTTATTGAAAATTATATCTTTTAAGTAGATTTCTTGTTTTTTATTATATTCTAAATATGGATTTCCTTCGTATAATTTCTTATCCCTTTTTTTAAACAAATTCCTTTCATATATTTCAAACTAAAAGGCAAAAATTATTTTACACGTGTAATGGTATCGGCCTTCCTACCTTAAGTATGAAGTGCCATCTGCTGCCGACCCAATTTATTGATGGCGGGTCACCGGGACCCCATCTGGACCAGTTTTAAATTTTGATTAAACACGTTTATTAATTCCCTAATTTAATCTAACTTAATGATTTTGTTGACTAAATCATATCTTATGACAGGTGGGATTTGGAGTAGGATTGTTGTTTGTTTGAATGCGTGTCGGATTTCTATTGGCTTACTTCAATTTATATTTTGTTGTCAATTCGATTTGATGTAAAGTTTAAGTTATGATTTAAAAAAATGTGGTGAATGGGTATGTTTTGTAGCTATGATGTAGCAGTCCATGAATTATCCATTATTCAATGTTCATTAAATAAAAATAAAGTGGAGTTTTTAATATAATGTATGTAATTGCTTTGATCAATGTACATTTTATATTTTATTTGGATTATTTCTAAAACCATATATTTGTTTCTTAATATATCATTGTATATCAAGAATTATCTGGATTTTCAATAATGACAAAGGGGTCTTATAAAGTTTTGTGGTCGAGTAATTAACTTCCTATTTGACCAAATAATGGGGGGGGGGGGGTCGACACATTCCTATTCGCTGTTCGTTTTCATTTAAGCCCAACGTTAATGTGGCTCTAATGCAAAGGGCAGATAAAAGGCGTTGTTAATGAGATTTGCTGTTATTTGTCGGCAACTATTGAAAACTCGGTGTAGTTTGCTTCTCGACCCTGATTATTGCAAAAGAGAGGAGCTCCTTTTGCGTTGTGATCGCTTGACCGCTGAATTTACAACAGCAATTCAGTCGAGCGCGGTACCATGTTCCTCAGTCTCTGTAACGAGGAAATGGACGAAACCAAAGATTGGATGGGTGAAAACGAACGTCGATGGGGCTGTTCGCACTTCAGACTCGATGGTTGCTGTGGGGGGAGTTATTAGAGATTCCGAGGGGGGCCTGGCTCTATGGGTTTTCCCGGAGTATTGGTCGCTGCTCCGTGCTTGTGGCTGAACTATGGGCAGTCCATGATGTTTTACAGTATGCAAGTTGAACTGGAAACGGACAATTTAGAGGTGTCGAAGATATGGTATCAATTGTCGGACGCGTTGGCGGGTAATGGCCTTGTGTGTGCGGTTAATGAGCTTCGGAATCTGGAGTGGGTTGTCGAGTTGAGGCATATTCATGGTAATCAAAATGTTGTAGCTGATGTTTTAGCTGGTTGGAGCCGTGGTTCTTTCCCCGGTGTGTTGGAATTTGGACATCCGCCTGCTGAGTTGGAGACGATGCTGCAGGAAGATTTACTTGGGACAAGCTAGTCGCTTGGTCCTACTTCTGTTTCACAATTATTTACCAATAAAAAAGGCGTTGTTATGGTATTTATTTTAGCTTTGTGGCAAAGCCGTTGTACAGGTCAAAATCATTCAAGCAGGGAAGTGAAAAAAGAGAGTATTTTCTCAGATAGAGAGTATTGGATTTTATTTTATAAGTGGGTTTATATCTACAATTAAATGAAAAAGACGAATCATCCAACATCGAAGATGTAAATAAGATTTGACGTTTCCTTCAAATAAATACACAAAAATATTTATCTTTTTTACATTTTTAATCAAAGATGTCATGCTCTAATCGTCTTTTACGACATTATAACATTCATCAAATTGAATAAATAAAATCTACAATTTCCCTTTTGAAAAAAAAATCAGTTTTTCATCACACAATAAATTTAGAAGACGTTGAAAAAAAGTACAATTTTATCTCCATTTATATGTTTTACGACAAACAAATAAATAGATAGATTTATGAAAAATTGATAAATAAATTTATCTCCATTCCAAATATTTATCATCGTTAAAAGTTAATACAAATATAATTTAAATTATCATTTTTTAACAATTTCTACCTAGATGAGGATGTCGGGAATTTTTCTTTTAATGAGCATTAAACCTATAACCTAAAAGGAAGGGGAAATTTTACGAAACGATAGAGTAATATAAGATTAAAAAATGGCACAAGCGAAAATTTGAAGAAAATTTGAAAATGAACTTAATAAAATAGGTTTAGCACTATCGAAAATGTTGAATTAAATTTAATGTATTAGGTTGCAAGTAGCGTAATATAATAAAAAATGGCTTAACCAGGTAACTTATGTTGTCGGTAAGCATTGAGACTTGCTTCAAGAATATCAATATTTTCGATATTTATAACATTTCAGATCACAACCTACTCTTTAGATAGTCACCAACTTATTTTGTTGTCGTGTGAATAAATAAGGCCACATCATATTAAAATCTGGTAACATTTTAAGGTGCAACCTAAAATGTTAATTATATTAAAAATATTAACGATTTTAAACTTATTTTGTGACCATTAGAAGAGAAACATTTTAAATTTCAACTAATATTATTATATTAACATATAACTTTTTCAGTTAGAATTTTTTTTGTAATCGGATTATATTAATACTTTTTCCCCAAGTATTGATATTTTCGAATTGTTAAAAGAAGGAAAACGAGAATGATATTTAAAAGTATCGAACTTTTCCACATATTTCAATACAAAGGGAAAAGTATTGAGTATTTATAGAAAACATAATCGGTTTAGAGGTAAAGGCAAGAATCAGAGAAAAGAAGAATGTGTTATTGTCTTTAGAATCCGTTTTCCATTTGAGCAAGAGACATAAATATTGAAGAACAGAACTGTAATCGCAATCTGAAGAGCAAAGAGGTATGATCGTGAAATGCTAGTTTGCATTTTTTTCAATTAATGAATTTGGATTTAATGATCAGGGTTTAATTTATAGGAAAATATGTAAAATAATGGATCGATTATTGTTATAGATTGATGAAGTGGAAAATGACTGGGGTTAGTAAAACAAGTAGAATGTAATATTGTAGGTTGAAAGGAAAAAAGAAATAGGTTGTAGAAAACTTTATAGGTTGTACATGATTGGTTACTCTAATGATCAGTTATAGGTATAATCAATCATGAGAAACAGTTACATTTATATTTACATAACAATTTATTACGATAAATACTGTTGAAATCATTGTAATTAATGAAAAAGAAAAAAGAAGAAGAAGATTGCATCACATGCAAGAAAATCGTGGGAGGAAAAATGAATGAAATGAGGGTTGTAACCTGTCAATTATTCTTTGAGAAGAAGATGTGTTTGAGGATCAAGAGACTACTGAGATAGAGGGAAGGTTAAACCAACCAATGGCCCCTTATACGCATTAGTAAGTAACCATGTATTTGTCTAATGCACTATTTAATGGTGGATATTGATTAAAAGTATTTTAGATGTTTATATTGATGACAAATTTGAAATGTTTATAGTGTGAGAGAATGTCGATGATTGAAGGGAGTTTTAGATAAGAAGATTGGTTATGTTTGTATGTAAATTAAATTGAGATGGTTATAGAGATGGAAGTTGATAAAGAAACGTTGAGTGCATGTGATTAAAGAAGTGGCAATGAAATGGAAGTTGATGATCGAAGAGGAGAAAAAACTTAAGTAAAATTGATGGAAAAACATAAAGAAGTATATAACGTATGGAAGAGTGCACATGAAAAGAATGTATTCTTCATACTTCAATGATTATATAAACTTGTAACTTTTTTTATAATGGTTGTGTAGAACAAAACATAACAATTATTTTGTTTTTTAATAAATGTAGGAAGTGTTAACAATATGTAGCTTAATAAGATTGGATGAATTGATGGAAGAGTTGAAAAGAAAGGAAAAACTGAATGTTGTTAATGTAATACCCCAAATTTTGTCTAGTGACTAAAATGTAAGTTTTGAAAGTTTAATGGTTAAAGTATAAACTTTGAAAAGTGTAGGAACCGAAATTGTAATTTTTAAAAGTTATATATCTTAGCCTGTAAATGAACAGTTTGAATTAAAATAGATATTTTAGTGGGAATCAGATTTTTTGTACGAGAATTTTGTTAAAAGTTATAAATTAGTAAAGTTCAATATTGAAATCGAATATTCGGATTGAATTGGAATTTTACGAAAATTTGAAGATGCTATAAAATGGTTGGAAATATTATTTATATATTTTAGAAAAGTGAAATTTAACATGGATTAATGGAATTAAGGTCGATTTTTCATGTTAAGCCAAAATTTTGGAATTTGGTGACTAAATTGCAATTTTCAAAAATTGCAAGGACAAACATGAAAAATCAGAATTAAGAGATTTTTTTATGGATATGATAAGGTAAGGGATGATGTCATAGAGTGACAAAGTTGTAGTTATGGAGTTTCATTAATGGCAAAAATGAATTTTCCTATTAAATCGAATAAAAAATCAATAATAATGATATTTAGCCATGTGTAATGGCTAATTAACATCAATATTTTCAAGAAACGTTGAGCATTTTCAGCAACAACTCTCCAAGGGCCTGAAAGTTTCAAGTGTTCAAGGTAAGAATTTTTAGTTTGATTTTTGGTCCATTTTTACAATAATTTTAAGTTAGGTTATTAAGGATAAAATAACCTACATGAAATTCTCTTTCATTTGGCATAAAAATCTTCATGTTTCATGCTCAAGTTGGTAAGGTATTGATGAAAGGGAAGTTTGATTTTTATGATTAAAGATTGATTCTTGATATTATAAGTGTTGTAAAAATTGATGAAGAACCTAATGATGCAAATTAATGAAAACAATTTAGATTTTTGAATCTGGCAGTGAGTTTGAAAATTCACCATAAATTATATAAAAATTATTTGGAGATTAGTTTTATATATTGTGTTCGTATATCAATCTATTTTTGTTTAAAACAAACGGGGATCAATTTCAAGGTGTATACAAAAAGATATGAATTTTTAACCGAGGAAATGTCAGAAAAACGGGCAGCAGGTTCTGCACAAAACAGATTCTGTCAGTCAACTTTGAAAATTCACCATAAATTGTACATAATGAATTAGAAGGATTTCTTTATATAGATATATTTTTATTCGAGTCTAGTTTTCAAAATAATAAACGGAATTAAATTATAGTGTGTATATAAATACATAATACTGATTCTTTAAAGGTAGTGCAAGTTGTCTGAATATGGAAATTTTAGAATTTAAGTTGAAATGGATTAGAAGATGTAGAGTAATGTTTAAATGTTGAGTATATTTTTGGATGCTTGGAATTGAATTTAAATGGAAAGAGACCATTTTGAATAAATTGGAAATTTTGAGAAGAATTTTAAAAGAATTCATTTTAATGGTTAGATGGTGGAATTCGAAAGGTTCCAAAACTTTGGGGACTTGTTTGCAAGTTCTTAAATGAAGAAATATTATTTGAGTAAATTATTGAATGCTGAAAAATTTATTAGTATGCTGAATTTTGAA